CCGCCCCCGCCGCCACTTCCGAGAGCCACAAACGCCGGGCGGAAGCGACGGGTGCAATGCGCATGAGTATAAAGGAAGAGCGAGGCCAGGCTCCCCGTTGCCATCTTGGGTGATGGTGGTTGCCATGGCAACCGCGCGGCCTACACCTCTCAGAGCAGCCTGAGCCCTCCGACGGGGGAACGGCCCCGAGCCGACGACCCCCGACACCCTCTGGGACCCCTCCGTGTCCTCCTCGAGACGCAGTCCTCGCTGTGACCCCTCCTCCCCGCTGGGACCCTGTGGTGGGTTGACCTTGCCTGGATGCCAGGTGCCCACCCAGCTGCTCTATCACTCCCCTTTCCAGCAGGACAGGTGAGAGAGTAAGGTGTAAGAAAACCCCCAACTCATGGGCTGGGTTAAGGCAGTTTATTTAAAGCAAAAAAGTAAAGCGAAGCTTGCGTCTGCAGAAGCAAAAGATAGCAGAGTTCATTCTCTGCTTCCCATGAGCAGTGATGGTCGGCCACTCCCGAGAAGCAGGGTTTCAGTACATATGATGGTTCCTCAGCAAGCAGCCATTGGAGACTGCTCTTTGTCTCAGCTTTTATATCTGAGCTGACGTCATATGGTCTGGAATATCCCTTTGGTCAGTTTGGGTCAGCTGGCCTACTTGGGTCCCCTCCCAGGATCTTGCCTGATTTTTCTCTTATATAGCTCACAGGCTTAATCTTCATTCTTTCCCTGTTCCACTGATGGGTAGGATCACTTATTTCCTTTGCCCTGTAATGTAGTTGAAGATCAAATACACTTTCTATGTTGCTTTGGCTATCCTGATTCTAGCTTTTTTTCAGTAACACAAGTAGAACAAGTACTGAAATAGCGCTGAACTGTCGTTTCTTCCCCCAGTGACTGAGGAGAGCCATGAAGAACCAGCCTTCAGAAACTTTGTGCAGGACATGTGGATGAAATGCCAGAGGAGAAGCAACCCAAAGGAATGAGACCTTCAGAAACAAAAGGTTTGGAATCACTTGTAATGGAGTTAAAACTGAAGGAATGGCATAAAGAAACTTGCACGGAACCATGCATGAAGACTTTTATCTGTGAACAACTTCCTCTGATAGATTTTTATTTTTCTTTCTGCGGTAACTGTTGGTCCGGTGAGTTAAAGGTCTTGCAGCCAACTGACTGCACATTTGGCCATCTGCCACTGTGGCTTCCTGAAGCTGAAGGAACTAGAAAGCAGTTTTTTTTCCTGCAACTTGTTCAGATCTCTCTGTTGAGAGCTTAAATTTTGATCTCTGACAGCATTAGCATCCAGAGTACTCACTGGTCCTCAGAGGCACCTTCCGTTTGCAGAGTACAGTCAGGCATCTGCTCCAGCCAGGGCACAACTTGATCAATCCGCTGTTTGATGTTTTGGTTTTCATTAAGTAGATTTTACGTACTAAGAAATGTGTGATGGTTAATAGAAGGAGATTTCATGTCACCATTCTAAGGTGAGACTTTTTCCCTGTGCTTGCAGCCTATTCATATAGATGCACAGCAAATCTATCTTAAGTATATTACAACCCTGCAGGTTACCTGGTGAAAACAGGGAGGTCCCTTTGCCCACATTGCCTTTCTCTGGCCCCTCTCCAGCCTGAGGCCACTCCTCTGTTTGCTCACTCTGGCCTCACTGTCCTACACGATGCCTCTTCTGTCTGCTCCAATGGCTGCTGCCAAGAAAAGCGGACATAGTGAGTCCCAAGTGCTGACTCCTCACCACTACACCTGGAGAACCACTATGCCAGCCCCTCAGTGATTCCACCTCCAACCCTATCCCCATACGCTGGGATAGCTACTCTGGGGGTGAAGCTGGAATACAGTTTCTAGAGCTGGACCTGAAGTAAACATCCTGCTCTGATCAAGGAGCAACTTCACTTGGTGGTGGGAAGATGTGGAGCTGAAATCACTGCAGGGCTGGGATTGCAGAGAGGCATTCCAGAGATTGGTTTGCAGAACCTGGGCACAGATCAGCTTCAGCATCAGCAGGGACTGCGCGGGAGAAGGAGGGTGGGCAGCGGGCCTGGGGCGGGCAGAGGGATACGGGGTGGGGGCAGGCACTTAAAAGATTTCGGCCAGGGAGCTGATCTCAGCCAGCACTCAGTCGGGGCAGTCTAAGTCCCCGCAGCAGCAGAACTGCTGCGTGGGGAGAGGCGGTCAGAGGTGCACTGCCGCTCTGCGTCCTCCCTGCTCCCGGCCGCCGACTCCCGGCCCACCACGTCGAGGGGGTGCTTACCCCAGTGGTGCCCCAGTGTGTCCTAGTGCCTCCTCAGTGCCTCTCAGTCCCATCCCAGTGCCTCCAGTCCCTCCCCAGAGAATCCCAGTCCCAGCCCAGTTCCCCCAAGTGCCCCCAAGCCCTCTCTAGTGCCCTCAGTCCCAGCCCAGCCCCTCCCCAGCACATCTCAGTCCTATCCCAGTGCCCCCAGTCCCATAGTCCCCAGTCCCTCCCCAATGACCCCAGTCCCATCCCAGTGTTCCCAGTCCCT